CATCTTACGTTTTTATATGCTTTTGAGGATACAGAGGTTTGTCCTTTTTATGCAAGCTGCTTTTTTTCTCGTCTGTGCACTCGCTTTCTATTTTACCCAAGAAAAAAATAATTGTACTATATTGCTACAGGGGTACAGCTGGTGGGCCAAGGCTGTTACAAGCTTTAGTGTTTCAAAAAAATTTTCACACGTTTGCTTGCATGCATTCTGCATGCCTGAAAGATATCTTAGGCTAGATTATGATACAATGTTATACTTGTGATGGAGGAATTTATATGGCTCATGATCATCAACCATCAACCAGCACTCTACAGGATTACCTGGTACAGAACATACCTACTGCCATGCACTAATCTTTAAAAACTTGTACTGATATATCTGGTCCTTGTCTTCCCCCATCCTCTATTCCTAACTGCACTTTCTAGCATTGTTGCTCCCCCATAAACTGTTCCATCTCAGTCCTCACCTTATGCTGCCCAATTTTCCCCACTGTCTCCAGTTTCAGCAATCACCTTCTGACACCACCCTCTTACAACCTCATGCTGCCTCATCTCCCCGCTTCCCCCAGTTTCAGCTCTCTACCTCCAACACAACCTTCTCACATGCTACCTTTCTATCTATTCAGATTCAGCACTCTGTTGGCAACACCATCCCCTACTAACTCCGGGCCCTCGGGCAAGCCCGAATGGTCAGTCCGCACCTGCTCCTGTGTGAACTCAAACTATGACAAGCCTGGGTTCACACAGGAGCAGTGGGGAAACCACATGCGATTTGGACAGGAATCACATTCCTGTTCAAATCGCATGCTAATATTTGCGCTGCAATTTTTATTGACGCAAATAACACTGCAAAGTATCGGTTTCTGGTATCAGGAGCACTCATCAGGAGTACTCATGAAAATACTCAGTATCGGTGCATCCCTATTGCCTACCCTGACATTTCACACAGCCCACAACAACCTTTTTCCCCATGCTTTCATCCATCTACAAATCCCCTCTGATCTACTCTTTGCATACTAGATTCTTCCACTTACATTCTCATGACTCCAGTTCCTCCAACACCCTTTTTCACCACTTCCACCCACGGGCATCTTCTTACCCCCACACCCGCTCCCCATGCATATCGACCATTCTTCTCTCTACATCACACTCGCACTTCCCCTTTCTCCCTCACCCCTTTTCCCACATTGGCTTCAAATATTTCCTTGACAACACACCACCACCATTTCACCTCCAGCCTCCTAATACTTATCTCTACTAGTCTTACCCATATATTTCCTTCTTGTAGCCTTCCACAACCAGAGGCCAGTCTCTTTAAAGGACTAGGGCACCTGCAGATAAAAACAAACTGTGCAGATTTGACCAAAGTTAAAAATTTTCCTTGTTATAGGTGTAGGCCATTTATGTGCCTCCTGAAACCTGACCAAAATTTCCCAGAGATGGCATCGCCCCATTCTGCCTTTGTGCTTGGATGTTGCTAAGACATGCCAAGTTGAGTCAAACCCCTTCGCATGAGCTGTCCTCTCTGTTGCAGTGGCTATGAACTCTGAATGAGTTGATCTCTGGCTCTGAATGAGTGATGCTGCAACAGAACCGAAAGTGGAACACACGTGTGGAGCTTCTAGAGCTCACTCCTGTAATGGTGGGAGTGAGCAGCAGCAGCTGGGAATTTCTTAGCAACATCCTAGCAACAAGGCAGGATGATGCCATCTCTGGCAGTTTTTTGGCCAGGCATATGGAGGTACATAAATGGCCTACACCTATAGCAAGGGCATTATTTAACTTTAGTCGAAGCTGCACAGTTTTTTTTATCTACAGCTGCCCCTTACCAGCAAAGGCATTTTTTTTTTTTCATAAACGTGAACTAACCCTTTATGTTCTAAGTCTAGTCAAGCAACAAAAGATACCCAAGGTTAGCAAGAATAAGAAGTGGGCTACCGAATGTACTGGAGCAAAAAAGATGAATTATTTAGCTTTTTTGAGACAGGGCAGGGATAACTCTGGTGGTTGTAGTGCAAAAGAAAGGAAGGCTGGAGCACTTGGACAAGATAGAGAGTTTGGATGAAGTATGCTAAGAATAAGTTGAACATGGGATTTCCTGGGTTTTAGGTGTGTCTATGAGACCCTTCCTTGGAGCACAGTAATTAAGGTGTACTTGACTGCGCCAGATGTTTAGGGTATACAGCAAGTTGGCTAATTTACAAGAATTATTGCCATAAATTCTGTTATGCTGTAGAAGAGTGTACTTCCCAGTAGTCATCATATGCCTCCATGGCCATATCCAAACAAACAGCATTGGATTTGACTGTTTTATCTGGAAGCCAGGTTTCCATAATGACTTTTTCTTACAATTCAGATGAGACTCCTGTTTTTCTCATAACAGGACAGGCACCCGAGTGTTTGTGGAAATCACAGATGTAGTTCAGATTGCACTTGCCCTTTTTTTTACTGTGCACCATCAGTGAAAAGCTTAGTGTGCAAAATTAAACCTCCAGCTTAACCACTCGCCCTTCAGAGGGTTTACTGGACCCCCTTCCTGACCAGGCCATTTTTTTGTGATACGGCGCTGCATTACTTTACCTGACAATTACAAGGTCATGCAACGCTGCACCCAAATGAAATTTATGTCCTTTTATTCCCACAAATGGAGCTTTCTTTTGGTGGTATTTGATCGCCTCTGTGTTTTTGTTTTTTTTTTGCACTATAAACCAAAAAAGACAGACAATTTTGAAAAAAAATAATCTTTTTGACTTTTTGCTATAAAACATATCCAGTAAAAAATACAAAAAAAAAATCAAATTTCATCATAAATTTAGGGCAAAATGTATTCTGCTACATGTTTTTGCTAAAAAAAAAAAATCCCAATACGTGTAAATTAATTGGTCTACGTGAAAGTTATAGTGTCTACAAATGGTGGTATATATACTGGATTTTTTTTATACACTTGTAATGGCGGCAATCGGTGACTTATAGTGGGACTGCGGGACTTCTGACACTGGATGGGGAACTGAATAAGTGTCACTGACATCCCCAGTGACACTAATACAGTGATCAGTGCTAATAAAAAGCACTGACACTGTACTAATGACACTGGGCAGGAAGTGGTTAACCTGTGGGGCGTTCAAAGGGTTAACTGTGTATTTTTTACTGTGTAAGTACACTGCTATGCAGAGCAATACAAAGCAGCGTGCAAATACAAAGCAATACAAAGCAGGAGAGATCTGTATTGCTTACATACAGACCTCTCCCCCCTCAGTATTCCTCAGCGATCACCGGGGTGCCGGCAGGGAATCACCAGCTGGGACCCAGTGATCAACAGCTGTAGCTGCAAATGGGAGCGCAGGTGGGGCATGCGTGCCCTCTACCTGGAAATACAAAATCATGTATATGTACGTGATTTTGCTCAGCCCTGCTGCCCTATAGCAGTAGTTCTGCTATAGGGCGGTTGGGAAATGGTTAAAGTGTATTTACATTTTTGCAGCCAAAAAAAGGATAACACCTACTTTATATTTGTTACATGTTCTCATTCACTTAGCATAACATAAAAAAATTGCAGCTTACCTTCTACTTGCTCTTTTCTGAAAACTCTGAAACTGAAGTTTATCTCTGTTATGCAGATTTTCCTGGGGAGTTAATATTTATCATAATTAACCCTGTCTGTACTGCATAGCTCCCAAGTGTCCTTGATTTGGAGGGACTGTCCTCCTTTCCTCCTCATTTTGGTCTGATGTATAGACCTTTCTAAAAAAATGGATTATTTATCCATCAAAAAGTGTTTAGGCCTCATTCACACATGTGTACTTAAGCGTACGTCCATGCTAGGGCCATGTTTGCCTGCATGGGGATATACAGGTGTTCCGTGCATCCCCGTGCACAGTCCCATTCATGTCAGTTTGGATGCAGCAGTTGCATGGACACAGCCGCTTTGCCCAAGTTGACAGCTATGTAGGTGCGTGGCCCCAAACTCAGATAGTGTACATCTGGGGCCACACACTGGCATGGCTGTCATCTTGGGAGCAGTGGCTGTGTCCATGCAGCCACTGCATCCCAATTGGCATAAATGGGACTGTCTGCATGGGATGCACAGAATACCTGTGCCTAGCTATATAGGCAAACTGGCCCTTGCACGGGTGTACGTTTAATTATGCCTGATCCTCAGTAAACTCATTCCAAACTGGTCTCAGCAGCTTTAGCAATAGGCTCCTCAGCTTTCCTTAAGCTGGTACCTCGATACTCCTGCAGTCTTCAGCTGACTTCCCCAGAAGAACAACAGCCCTTCAGTCTGGGTCTTCTCCTCCAGCACAAGAACCCTTGTTCCAGGCCCCAGACTATTTATACACTCATCAGTCCCCTGCTGGTCATCCCCTTGATGAGGGATTGACTGAGGTTGTATAAATATTCAGCCCAGGGTCTGCCTCTTCCAACCCACTATATTCTAGAACAGTGGTCTCCAAACTGCAACCCGGGGGACCAGATGTGGCCCTTTGCCTACTTTTATCTGGCCCTTGGGGTACTATTTTTCTCCACCGATACCAACAATGGGGCATAATTCCCCCCACTGACACCATTAAAGGGGCAGAATAACTCCCAATGACAGTTCACAATTCCTCCCAATGGCACCAATGATGGGGCACAATTCCTCCCAATGACACCAACAATGCGGCCCAATGACAGTAATGATGGGGCGCTGTTCCTCCCAGTGATACCAAAGATGTGGCATTGTTTGTTCCACTGAAGTCAGGATCCTTTCTACTCCTAATAGTCTGGCCTCCCTTAGGGCTCATGTACACTGCAGCTGATAAACTCACGTTTAGGAGCTGTTCAGCAGTTTTTTCAGCAGCCCCTGAACATTCCCTAATGTTTTCCTATGTGTCCATGTACACATCGTCGTTTACAGTCGTTTACAGGCAGTTGAGTTTACAGTGGTTTTTGTTTTTGAATGCAGAAAACTTAAGTTTAGCAGTAGATTTTGTCAGCGTTTCAAATGCCAAATGCTTGTAGAAGCATGTAAACGTGGCTAAATGCGGCTAACAGCGTTTATAAGCGTTTGCAATTTTTTTTAACTCTTCCATTTCCAGATGCTGTCCAGAGCCTTTTTTCATCATGAAAAATGCATTCAAAGCGTTTTCCCGGTACTCAAAGGGACCTGGCACATCATACTTTGAGGTTTTGAATGAGAGAAAATATGTTAGACACTGCTGCAATAATTTCTGCACAGAAATGAGCTGGAACATATCCAGAAAAAAAAAAGACAGCTAATCTCAACAAATACTGCTCTCTCTGCTTCTGCTCTCTCTATTTCTCTCAAAAAGTCTGAAATAGTTAATTGTTTACTGTTTTTCAGTGCATTCTGGGCATTTTGGAAGTTCTCCTGAGGTTATCTTTAAAAAACACTTCTAAACGCAAATGCTCATAACTGCGGTATGCAAACGCGGCTAAACAGACGTTTTTTAACCTACGATTTCCAGCAGTCAGTTTCCATTGTTTAGAAGTGTCCCGTGTACATGGGGCCTTAGATCTGAAGGACAGTAAACTGGCCCTTTGTTTACAAAGTTTGGAGACCCCTGTTCTAGAACCTAGTAGAAAACGGGGAAGTAGCTGAGCCTGCAACCAGCCGGACCCAGAACAACCAAAAGCAATCACAACTCTTCTCCACTGTCTAAATAGGCCATAAACTATGTTTACCTAATTCAACTAAAAACCTACTAGGAAGGCGCTACATACATAATAATCAAGTATGTTTTAACCATTAATACCATGAACAGCAAATTTACAGTTAGACAACCATAATACAGTATACATCCCTTTGCCCATAGTTAAAGCTTGGCACCCACAATTCTAATAACAAAAAATACTGTAAAACACTTCAGTATAATATATCAATAAACAGTTTGCATAATGAATGACAATAAATATACTCAGCAGATTACTTGGCTGAGCCTTACAAAATGCCTTAGTTTTTCTACAGGTGTCTCTTACTACAGTTGAAGGTCATGATGACATTTTCTTTTCTCCCGAGTCCAGACATTGATGTGTGATTTAGATGTATCCTGTTTCCACTGGCTGCCAAGTGAATCTCCCAGTCTCAGAAGCTTGAAGCTGGCACGCCACTTACTTCCTGGCAGGACACCAGAGGGGACTAAGTGCATTTATGAGAGTGGGGGGACATTGGAGACAAAGTAGGTACACAGTACAGTGAGAATACTAAAAGAAGACAGGAGTAATGCAAGGGAGATGCTATAGGGGGGGTGCTATAGGTGGAGGAGAGAGCTATACCTGGGGGGTGCTATAGGTGGTGGAGAGGAGCTATACCTGGGGGGTGCTATAGGTGGTGGAGAGGAGCTATACCTGGGGGGTGCTATAGATGGTGGAGAGGAGCTATACCTGGGGGGTGCTATAGGTGGCGGAGAGGAGCTATACCTGGGGGGTGCTATAGGTGGTGGAGAGAAGCTATACCCAGGGGGTGCTATAGGTGGTGGAGAGGAGCTATACCTGGGAGACATTTCGTATTATTATTATTATACAGTATTTATAAAGCGCCAATAGTTCGCTCAGCGCTGTACATTACAAAGGGAGACAGAACATGTGACAGAACAATAACAATACAATGCAAAACATGAGGGGATTGAGGGCCCTGCTCTTTCGAGCTTACAATCTAGGAGACCTAGAAATGCATTGAAAACCAATTAATCCGTTCCAGAGGTCAGAAAAAAGTAAAAAAAAAGTCTTTTATCTGTTCAAAACCCTTTATAAAGTGCACTTTAAAGGCATAAATACTGTACAGGGACATGATTAAAAAAAAAATTTGTAAATGCACTTAAAACCAATTAATCCGTTCCGGAGGTCAGAAAAAAGTAAAAAAAAAAAGTCTTATCTGTCCAAAACTCTTTATAAAGTGCACTTTAAAGGCACAGGGCCGGTGCTATAAACCTCCCAGACGCAATGCATGCTGGGGAAAGTTGCTTTGTATTGTGAAAAAAATAAGTAAACCGAGGCATTATTTTCAATGGATTTTAAATTGTAAACTGAAAATTACGTTAACCGAGGCATTCGTAAACCGAGGCACCCCTGTATGTGTGTATGTGTGTGTGTGTGTGTATATATATATATTGAAATGCGTTTTTTATATATTACAAAATATATGAAAAATATTTTTAAAAATATATATTTTTTAAATATATTCTTCAGATTTTTTTAACATAGAAAAAAGTCATTTTAACATAAAATGTATAATGTATTTTTAAAAATATTTTTCATATATTTTGTAATAAAAACGCATTTCAACATACAGTGTATATTTCAAATATATGTCAATATATTTGGGAAGAATATTTTTAAAATATATTTCAAACATATTTTTCTCCCTATGTCTTCCAGGACAGCCATCTGAGACCTAGGGCTCCTCCCTCCGGATCAGGAAACACACCATCCCCCATGCCTTTAAAAGGCGGGCCTCCGGGCCTCACATCCAGTTTTTTGTGTTTCCTGAGCCGGAAGGATGCACACCGTAGGAGCCAGGGTGATCCTCGCACCCTCAGGAAGGCTGGCCTGGAAGGGTGTTGTGCGGTCTGTACCTCCGTCTCCGGTGCCTTCCACGTGGTGGGGCTGGCATCTGGTGGGGTCCTTCAGGCCCAGGTGGGTAACCGGCGCTGCCTTGTGTCACTGGGGCTTGCCCCGATCGTTCCCCTCCTCTGACCCGGCATTCAGTTGAATGTGCAGGGGAGAGGCGGGACTTCCGGTTGGGCACGGCCTTGCGTTCCAGGGACCGGAAGTAGCAGGGCGGATGCACTCCACAGGCCGGAAGTCCGCCAGTGACGTCAGCGCTGGGCGCCGGAGACGTGGCTCCGATCTCCAGAGGCGCAGGCACCACCAGGGGAATTTAAAAGCCGGTGGGCGTGCGGAGCAGCGGCGCTGTCTCCACGCCAGGGGGACAATGGAAGCTGGTCCTTCGCAGGCTGACCCCGGTACCGGCTCCTCCCAGGTAAGCTTGGGGAGGCTCCCCTTTATGCTATATCCCTGGGGGGGGGGTTTAGGAGGTCCCTTAAGTCCCCAAGGTTGTGGGTGTTAGGGCACGCTGCAGTTTTTTTCCCCATCCCAGGTGGGGGTCCTGGGATGTTGTTCCCCTCAGGTGCCTAGTTTTGTATTTTGTCATTCCTTTTTAGACTAAAACGCAGGACAGGACCCCGGTACAGGCCCCAAAGAGGAGATGTGCAGTGTGTGCGGCCAAGTTAGGCGCAGGATATGAGAAGCCTTTATGCCGCAACTGCATTGATAGTCTTGTTAGAGACGAATCTTTTACAACATGCCATAAACAGGATAGAGTTCGAGGACTGCCCTCCAAGCAGGTTCTTGGTTACAGATCTTCCCAGGGACCGCAGGAAGTCTCAGGCGTTATGCGGTCTTGTAGGGGAATTGGTGGACCAGAGGGTTCTGGTTCAGGTGCCTCAGAACGAGCGGGGTTCAGGGTGTTACTCACACGTCTTTGTGGTGGGAAAGCCTTCAGGAAAATTCAGGTTAATCTTGAATCTACGCTCCCTAAATCAGGCCCTAACATACAAACGCTTCAGAATGGAATCAATTTATTCGGTAAAGAATATCCTGTTCCTGGGGTGCTTCATGGCCACAGTGGACTTGAGAGATGCTTATTTTCACATTCCCATCCACCAGACGAGTCAGAAGTTCCTGAGGTTGGCCATAAGGATGGGGTCGCAGACTTTCCATTGGCAGTTTCGGGCCTTGCCCTTCGGTCTAGCATCAGCTCCCAGGATCTTTACAAAGGTTTTAGCAGAAGCTTTGGTTCCCCTGAGGCTGAGATCAATCTTGGTGGTTCCTTACCTGGACGACTTGCTTTTGGTGGCCGGGTCTCGGCAACAGTTGCTTGAGCACCTGGGAGTAGTCCAGAATCTCCTGATGCAGGGTCTGGGCTGGCTCATCAACAGGGAAAAGCCGTCTCTTGTACCCGCACAGAGGGTGGTTTACCTAGGGTACGAGATCTCTTCTGTAGAGGAAAAAGATTTTCTGCCACGGGAAAAGTTCGAGAAGATGAATCGGGTGTTGTTAGGGTTGCAGTGCAACCTGCCTGTTTCGGTGAGGGAAGTCGCAGGGGCAGTGGGTCTTATGACATCCTGCTTTCCGGCGGTTCCATGGGCGAGATTTCACCAAAGACCGCTCCAGGCCTTCTTGTTAAAGGAATGGGACGGAAATGTCTCAGAGCTGGAGCGGCAAGTCTGGCTTCCGTCCAGAGTCAAGAGATCTCTGTGGTGGTGGCGAAAGGAGAGAAACTTGACCAGGGGTCTGCATTGGAGGCCATTGGATCCACTCATTGTAACCACAGACGCCAGCAGTTTTGGTTGGGGAGCTCATCTACAAGGGAGAACGGCCCAGGGGAGGTGGTCCCAGGAGGACTCCTTAAAGCCCTCAAATCAGCGGGAGCTGTTGGCGGTTGGGAAAGCCTTGGAGGTTTTTCAGGCAGGCTTGAAGGGCCTTCATGTGCAGGTTCGTTCAGACAACATGGCAACAGTAGCTTATGTGAACAAACAGGGGGGGACAAGGAGTCCTTCGCTGCAGAGGATCGCAGGCGATATTCTGACCTGGGCAGAAAAGAATCTGCGATCAATTTCGGCGGTACACTTAAAGGGTTCTCAGAATTCGCTTGCGGATTTCCTGAGCCGACGGCCACTCTCCCACGACGATTGGTCACTCAACCAAGAGGTGTTTCAGGAGTTGGTGTCCAGGTGGGGGAAACTGGAGGTGGATCTTTTTGCGGCACGGGAGAACAGGAAGGTCGACCAGTTCTTTTCCCTAAACTCGCGAGAGCAGAGCTTGGGGATAGACGCTCTGTCGACCACCTGGGATTTCAAGCTGGCCTATGCGTTCCCTCCAATCAGGCTGATTCCGGCGGTCCTGCAAAAATTTAGGGGGGAAAGGTCGGATCTACTCTTGATCGCACCTTTTTGGCCGAGAAGGCCATGGTTTTCCCTACTGAACAGGCTGGCTTCAGCTCGCCCGTATCCCTTGCCGGAAAGGGCAGATCTGATTGCGCGGGGTCCGCTTTTGCATCCGCGAGTCAAGACGTTACGGTTGACGGCCTGGTTCTTGAGGAACAGATCCTCAGAGCCAGGGGGTTCTCTGATCAGGTAATAAAGACTTTGGTGGGCTGTCGCAAGCCGGTAACCAGAGCCATTTATTCAAAGGT